TTCGTTTTTTTTCTGTTGGGGGGGGGGGGGACTTCAGCTTCCCTTTGCCTCCCCCTGGATCCGCCCTTGAATGATGAAGGATATTACTTTCCAGTTTTCAATTAACCCTTGTTTGTTTCCTACCTTGTAGCAAGTCCGAACTCTCTCTCGCAAGCAGTTCATGCTCAGGGCATTGCTGCACAAGGCAAGGAAGACTGCAGGACTCAGTGATTTGGCAGTTTCATAAACACAGCTGCTGTAGCCATCGCTGTAGCCAACTTGTTACTGGGATGCCTGTGGGGACTTTTTCCTCAATAGACCACCAACCACAGGTATCCCAGTAAATGCCCATAAGGCGTCTTGTAAAATAATTTAGCCCCTCTAGACTAATTCATAGTGAATAGAATTCTATTCCATTTGCAGCACAGTAGTTACACCAAAAATATAAAGATAACATCACCTATCTATAAGCCTGCATGAAGCCCAACCTTATTATAACTCTGGCTTGAGAGTTGAAGTTAAGTTAACCAGAGTTTGGGTTGGTCAGTACACTGGCTAAAGTGATATTTGAAGGATAAATAAAAGATTCATTTTTGTTCAAATTTTACTGGGAAGAGAACTACTATACACTTGGTAGCTCTGTCTAAAATGACGGGAAAAACATGTTGTTACTTCGTATTTGTTGTTTGGCTTCGCACAAAAGACCTACTTAGCTTGGGTGTAATGTTTTCCCATTTCAGACCACATGTCATTCCCTAGAGTATTATTTCTTTGTTTAATGTTTGCAAATGAGAAGACACATGAATATAGATACAACTCAAACAAAGAATCTTATTCTCAAGGGAATGACACGTGGTCTGAAATAGGAAAACATTATGCCGTAACCGATGAGGTCTGTTTCACATTTCTCAAATTCAACTTGACCTATAGTAGATAGTAAAATATAAAAAATATAGTCAATTCTGATGGTTGTTTTATTGTGTTTATGTACATTATTAGACTTCATTAAAAATAACAAATTCATCGCTTAATAACTTAGTCATCTTGATCCGATATCGTTCCCACCCTCTCACAAAGGAGTAGGAGTGGGGACATGGGGTGCTACATACCAAAAATACGAATTAAAGAAACGAGAATCTGAAAATAAAAATTACAAAAATAAAATAAAAACACCTGGATCCGCACATCTCAAAGGTGCCGTGAAATCGCACAAAATAAATTAAAAACGTTATCTGAAGAACGGCACGTAAAATGATCCGCTTACTTGTTGTATAGGTATATCGAAGCAAAAACGTTTGATTAATGGTTCCTCTGGGGCTCGAACCCAGGACCTGCGTGTAAAGCAGACGTGATAACCGCTACRCTAAGAAACCACCGTATAAGTATAGTCGGAGTGCATGTGATCTCAAACCGCAATGTTTGTTGGCAATAGCAAAGTATAATAAGCTTCTCTTGTTAAATCAACCAACATGGCAGCTGTTTCATTGTTATATATATCTCAAGGGATTTTGAGTCACGGTATGCACCGGCCACACAAACAATTAGTCGGAATGAACTAAATCCACTTGAGCGTAATGTTTGGCCATTTAAGACCACGCATCATTCTCTTAAGAATAAGATTCTTTGTTTAAGTTGTGCCCATATTCATGTGCCTTCGATTCTCGTGCGTAATCGTTAAACAAAGAAAATAATACTGTAGGGAATGACACGCGTGGTCTGAAATAGAAAAACAGTGGTTAGATAACGTCTCGCGTGGAATTTTTACTCAGCTGCTCATCGAAAGTTGTTGGAGATTCGTGAGATTCATTCAGCTGATTGATACCAAGCAATAGGACGTTTGCATGATGGCGTCATTTGACTCCCATTACCAAGATGCTTTGCGAATTTTCTTTCTTATTTAAATTTGTATTCCCTCATGAGAATAGTAAGACAATTGGTGCTAATTAACTGAACAAAAGAAAGCGTGCAAGGGAGTCTGATAGTAGAGGTCAATGACGCCATCGTGCAAACGTCCTATAGAATGCTCTCTGGTTGATAGCAGTGCTCGCCTAGTAGGTTGGGAATGACTTTTGAGATTCATTCAGCTGATGACTGATACCAAGAAATCGAATGCTCTAGATCTCTGCTGCGAGTTATAAAACATGACGTTCAATTTACATCGCTGAAGACCCGTAATGGGGTATAGGAAATTCATTCAGCTGATTGAATAATCTTGAATTTCCTAATGTGAAATCTTCTCAAATATTGAAGTACTTCTCTCTATTGGTAAAGGTTATGGAATATTTGCCACGTTACACGAGGCTTGTTTGTCAGACGGTGTGTGGCTCTTGGCTTTCTTGTTCATCTTCAAACTAAGGCGAGTTTATTGAATAATTCATAATAGAATATGTTGATGCCTTTAGATTAACGATAACCTTAACATTTCATATAAATTCTGATATAGTGACCGCCAGTTTTTGCTCCCTAAAGTCCAAGTAGCATCAAATACCTAGGGGAGGGGAAGGTGTGTTTGTCTTGTGATTGAATGGTGTGCTTGATGAAAGACTATAACATGGGCGTAGAGTGTATTTCACGGCCCCCTCACAGACCAATTTACATACATTTACTGTATTTTATAGGGTCACTCATCGCCCGTCGGAAACCATGTTTTCGATTCATCCTACCATGTAGAGGATACGAAAAGCATAAAGAGTAGATCCTGCCATGAGTGTTAAAACAGTCAAGGTATAGACCAATCCAGTAGTGGACATCCTTTTTATCCGATACAACAGGTTGTCAAATTCTTTCTTCTTGGCTCGACTTTTCAGTTTGTCTCCGAAAGAATAGAAAGTAAGTCTGGATTTACCATAGTAACATGCAGACGTACCGTTTATTTATCTTAAAGGTATGAGGATATGTGTAATTCGACGACAGCGCGCCGAAATTATCGAGTAACAAAATATTACGATGGATGCATATACAAACCGCGTTTGGATAATTCTTAGTATCTTACCGTTACTACAGAAAATCAAAGTCACAGTGCGGCTAAAACAGAGATCGCATTCGATTTTAGTATGTTTGGCTTGATTTTGGGAAGAAAGGAGACCCTTTCAATCTGCATAGTAAAGCTAGTAAGCGCCCAGAGTTTGGCCCCAGAAAGGCCAATCGTAGTACCTAGTACCTTTGGGGAGGTGGGTGTGTTGTATAGGCATACAAGTGGCTTGCGGGTCCATACTTTTGATGCTCTTAGATCCATTGCGTTTACGACCAAAACAAAACAAATTACACCATTGATCCCCATTTCTCTTGCTCTTTTAGAATTTGATACTTTTTGCCTCAAAATCGAAAATTGTGGAAAATCAGGATCTGGATTCACTCCTTGGATCGGAATTTTTCTAGATGGAGTGTCGGAATGAGAAAAAATTTCCATTAGTATTTCGACTTGAAATTATACTGAAAAGTTTAACAATACTAGAAAAATTACTTTGACGCAGTTATTTCGAAAGATTATTGAAAAATTATGGCTTTTATGAGATTGATAATTTAAGGGGTAGTCGGCGAGAATCTGTGAATTTATTCCACTTATTATCTTATTTCTTCTCTTTTTTTATCAAATAAGGAATCGAAAAAGACATTCGAAAACTCCTCACTTGTGTTCCTGCGACTATAACAAGCTAGAACAGGAAATAAAGCGGCATACAGTTACCATGGATACCGCAAAGGGTAAACAGAAAGTCTTTGGGCCAAAGGGACAGATATACTTTACAGTATCTCCGCATCAATGCTATTCAAGTGAAAACAGAAAACGTGAGTAGTGATTTTTATGGGTGTTCAAAAACATATATTTAGAGTGTGCGTTTATATGTTTACTATTTAAAAGTATGGACTACCTGTGGTGCGACGAAGCGAAAATACCACAGGGAGACCAACCCGTTTTTACCATAGTTCTGATTTATATTAAAAACCGGATTGTAACTTTCCACCTTTGGACTTACCTCTTTACCTTTTACCAAATTAAGGATATTGTTAACTATTTTGCTAGCATAAAGTTCACATTCAGTGAAAGGACTTTTGAAGCTACTACAATCAGGTCCTTTTTCAACTTTTCTTTTTTTTTTTTTTTGAATCCAAATGTTATATGTTTTGGTYAACGCAGACCAAAATGTAAAATAAAATAGTTCAAAAGAAACCTAATGGAAGAATATGGTTCAACAGTTCATAATATAGTACAAAGATCCTTTCACTGGATATGAATTGAACTAAGCGTAAGATCCGAGGTTGAGACCTCTTCACATCCATTGAAAGGAACTTTATCAACTTTCAAAAGCCGCATATTTTGGTCAACTCTAAACATGACCAACATTTATGTATAAATCAAAAGCAGATCAAAAGAAAACGAATGAATAACATACCAGTTTAACGGAAGTAATTATGACTGAGCTTCGAAGGTTTCTTGACTGAACGACCATCTACCATGACTATTTCACATCCATTTAAAGGACGTTCTTCCAATCGAAAACTTACATATATGTATGAATCAACAACGCAGGTAAAAAACTAAACAAATTTATATTATCGTATGGTATGACTACTACACGACTCAATAAAATTTCACGGACTATTTTTTTTCATATTTAAACACATAAATATTTATTATAGCTAAGTTTATACTATCGTAGGATACGACTACTAGTCGACTAAAAAAAATTTCACTGGCAATTATGATCTCCCTAGTCTCTGTCAATCACCTGGACTGCGAGTATCCCATCTAGATATGGTATACTCGCAGTCCAGGTGATTGGATGGTCTCTTTTTTTTTCATATTTAAACACATAAATATTTAGTACTAGTTCTAACTGTCCTTTTGAAGCGTGTGAAATAGTGCTGAAAAAGCAGAATAAAACAATCAATAAAATAGAAAAAAGAGAAAATTAATGGGAAAAATTGTTCATGAGGGTTTTATAAAAAAGGTCCTTTCACTAGATGTGAACTATACAATGGAGCGACTATTTGACATCCAGTGAAAGGACCTTTTTATTTATTGAAAAGCTGTTGTATGTCATTGGTCAAAGCAAAATAAAATAATAAATGAAATAAATAGAAAGAAACAATATGCTCGAATCAGAGCAATACGAAAAAATAAATAAAATAGATAAGAATGAAATTAATGGCAGACGAATATGGTTGAGAAGTCGATTAGCGTTTCAAAGGTCCTTTCACTGGATGTGAACTACATTAGTAAGTGGACTATTTCACATCCAGTGAAAGGACCTTTTTCGTAACAGAAAAACTATTTTGAACAATCCAGTCCGAACCATTTGACAAATAAAATGTCCTTTGGAATCGCTTGGCACTACTTAATCATAATTATAGGATAGTTTGGAAGCAGGAGAATTATAAACTAGTTTATTTTCTCTTGTTGGAAGTCATTGCATTGATTGCGATAGATGTTTTTTAGGTGAATAGATGCCGAGCTGCTGGCTATGTAGTACTGAGTCTTTTGAAATCCTAGACCGGGTGCCGGACAAGAGACAAATCTGATAAATGAAATGTCCATTTGGAATCTTATGCCTTAACGTAATTTAGCAGAATCTCTTACYTGGTTTAGGAGAATCCTTTTACTTATACACATTAACAAATTCATGATAATATACTTTTAAAAAATAGAAAATATTATCTGGATGCAATGGGGTTCAATCCCACCTTCAAACATTTAAGAAAAAAAATCGACTCCACTTTGCCATACCCCCGAGACATCCGCAGAGCTGAGGCGGCGTATGGACTTC